TTGAGCATCTCTAATGTGAAAATCCAAAATCCAAAGTGTTTCAAAATCTGAAACATTTTAAGCACTGACACAATGCTAGAAGTGGAAAATTCCGCACCTGACCTCATGTGATGATGGGTTGCAGTAAAAACTTTGTTTTGTGCACAAAAAAATAATTTAAAACAGTATATAAAATTACCTTCAGGTTATGTGTATATGGTGTATCTGAAACACAAATGAAGTTTGCGTTTGGACTTGGGTCCTACCCCCAAGATATCTTATGTATATGCAAATATTCCAAAATCCTAAAAAATCTGAAACCTGAAACACTTCTGGTCCGAATCATCTCAGACAAGAAATAATCAGTATAGCTACTCTCTAGGTCTGGTAAGTGCTCCCTCCCTCTGCCCCTTTAGACCCAGGAGTGGAACAGTTCCCATCTGTTGATAGCCCCAGGGAATGTTACCATTCCTGTTGGTTTTCCTTGATCCTGCCCACACCTTTTTATATATTGCCTTTGTTAAATTTTCTCCAGGTATCCTGTTTGAATGTGTCCTTTGTTTCCTGCTAGGAAAGGTCAAGGCTGGAGATTCAGATCTGGGAATCAACAGCCCAGAACTGAATTTAAAGCCATGAAAACCTAAATGACATAACCTAGGGACTGAGTGTCAATAGAGAAGAGAGACATGGATACACCTGGAATACTTCATTCTGTACGTGTAGGCCCTGAAACTAAAAGGTATCACTCTCAAGAGATTTCAGAGCAGAGGTGGACTGAATCTAAGTAAAACGGCAAACTAGCCCTGACCCAGCTCAATTCTTTTTTTTTTCTTTTTTTTTTTTTTTTTTTTTTTTTTTTTTTTTTTTTTTAGTAGAGACGGGGTTTCACTGTGTTAGCCAGGATGGTCTCGATCTCCTGACCTCGTGATCCGCCCGTCTCGGCCTCCCAAAGAATTCTTTTTTTTTTCTTCGCTCTCCTCTCTTTCCCTCCCTTCTCCCTCCTCACTCACCACCTGCACATGGCACCTACTCCTCACCAGAGCCTCTCGATTCCCCCACTCAATTCTTGATTGGTTTGAGGTGATTTTCCCCTCACCTAATATAACTTACAGAGGATAGATTCTTTTTCTCTGGGGAATAAAGAATACCAACCCAGACACTATGTGCCTTGTATACACAATGTTCAGCACACTAAACTTTATACCTGTGTGTGCGTGTGCATGTACAGTTCAAAGAAGCAGGAAAATAAGACTAAGAATCAGGAGGAAAAGCAAACAAGGCACGCCCACAGATGATCCAGCTATTTGTCAGTAGGCTAGGACTTTAAGAATAATATTATATGGTGGCTGGCAAGATGGCCAAATAGGAACAGCCCTGGTCTGCAGCTGCCAGTGAGATCAACACAGAAGGTGGGTGATTTCTGCATTTCCACCCGAGGTACCCAGCTCATCTCACTGGAACTGGTTAGACAGTGGGTGCAGTCCACAGAAGAGGAGCTGAAACAAGGTGGGGCTGAAGCACAAGGGGTCAGGGAAGCCATGAGAGACTGTACAGTGAGGAATGGTGCATTCCGGCACAGATACTCTGCTTTTCCCATGGTCTTCGCAACCTGCAGACCAGGAGATTCTCTCAGGTGCCTACACCCCCAGGGCCCTGGTTTCAAGCACAAAACTGGGTGGCCGTTTGGGCAGACTCGGAGCTAGCTGCAGGAGTTTTTTTTTCATACCCCAGTGGTGCCTGGAATGCCAGCAAGACAGAACCTTTCACTCTCCTGGAAAGGGGGCTGAAGCCAGGGAGACAAGTGGTCTAGCTCAGCAGATCCCATCCCCACAGAGCCCAGCAAGCTAAGATCGACTGGCTTAAAATTCTTGCTGCCAGCACAGCAGTCTGAAGTCAACCTGGGACGCTCGAGCTTGGTGAGGGGAGGAGCATCCGCCATTACTGAGGCTTGAATAGGCAGTTTTCCCCTCACGGTGTAAACAAAGCCACTGGGAAGTTCGAAGTAGGCAGAGCCCACCACAGCTCGGCAAAGCCGCTGTAGCCAGACTGCCAGTCTAGATTCCTTCTCTCTGGGCAGGGCATCTCTGAAAGAAAGGCAGCAGCCCCAGTCAAGGGCTTATAGAAAAAAGTCCCATCTCCCTGTAACAGAGCACCTGGGAGAAGGGGCGACATTGGGCACAGCTTCAGGAATCAACAGACACCTCATAGAGAAGAGCTCCAACTGGCATCTGGCAGATGCCTCTCTGGGATGAAGCTTCCAGAGGAAGAAAGAGGCAGCAATCTTTGCTGTTCTTCAGCCTCCACTGGTGATACCCAGGCAAACAGGGTCTGGAGTGGACCTCCAGCAAACTCCAGCAGACCTGCAGCAGAGGGGCCTGACTGGTAGAAGGAAAACTAACAAACAGAAAGGAATAGCATCAACATCAACTAAAAGGACCTCCACACAAAAATCCCATCTGAAGGTCACCTACATCAAAGAACAAAGGTAGATAAATCCACGAAGATGAGGAAAATCAGCATGAAAAGGCTGAAAATTCCAAAAATCGTAATGCCTCTTCTCTTCCAAAGGATCACAACTCCTCGCCAGCAAGGGAACAAAACTGGACAGAGAATGAGTTTGATGAATTGACAGAAGTAGGCTTCAGAAGGTGAGTAATAACAAACTCCTTTGAGTTAAAGGAGCACATTCTAACCCAATGCAAGGAAGCTAAGAACCTTGAAAAAAGGTTAGAAGAATTGCTAACTAGAATAACCAGTTTAGAGAAGAACATAAATGACCTAACGGAGCTGAAAACCACAGCACGAGAACTTTGTGAAGCATACACATGTATCAATAGCAGAATCAATCAAGCAGAAAAAATATCAGAGATTGAAGATCAACTTAATGAAATACAGCAAGAAGACAAGATTAGAGAAAAAAAGAATGAAAAGGAATGAACAAAGGCTCCAAGAAATATGGAACTATATGAAAATGACGGGGAGAATGGAACCAACTTGGAAAACACTCCTCAGGAGAACTTCCCCAACCTAACAAGACAGGCCAACATTCAAATTCAGGAAATACACAGAACACCACAAAGATACTCCTCGAGAAAAGCAACCCCAAGACATATAATCATCAGATTCACCAAGGTTGAAATGAAGAAAAAATTGTTACTGGCAGCCAGAGAGAAAGGTCAGGTTGCCCACAAAAGAAAGCTCATGAGACTGACAGCAGATCTCTCTGCAGAAACCCTACAAAGCCAGAAGAGAGTGGGGGCCAATATTTGACATTCTTAAAGAAAAGAATTTTCAACCCAGAATTTCATATCCAGGCAAGCTAAGCTTCATAAGCAAAGGAGAAATAAAACCCTTTACAGACAAGCAAATGCTGAGAGATTCTGTCACTACCAGGCCTGCCTTACAGGAGCTCCTGAAGGAAGTACTAAATATGGAAAGGAAAAACCGGTACCAGCCACTGCAAAAACATACCAAATTGTAAAGACCATTGACACTATGAAGAAATTGCATCAACTAATGGGCAAAATAACCAGCTAGCATCATAATAACAGGATTAAACATAACAATATTAATTTTAATGTAAATGGGCTAAATGCCCCAATTAAAAGACACAGACTGGTAAATTGGATAAAAAGGCAAGATCCATCAGTGTGCTGTATTCAGGAAACCCATCTCACGTGCAAAGATACACATAGGCTCAAAATAAAGGGATAGAGGAATATTTACCAAGCAAAAAAAAACAAAAAAACAGGGGTTGCAATCCTAGTCTCTGATAAAATAGACTTTAAACCTACAAAGATCAAAAAAGACAAAGAAGGGCATTACATAATGGTAAAGGGATCATGCAACAAGAGCTAACTATTCTAAATATATATGCACCCAATAGAGAAATACCCAGATTCATAAAGCAAGTTCTTAGAGACCTATGAAGAGACTTAGACTATCACACAATAACAGCGGGAGACTTTAAAATCCCACTGTCAATATTAGACAGATCAACGAGACAGAAAATTAAGAAGGATATTCAGGACTTGAACTCAACTCTGGACAAAGTGGACCTAATGGACAGCTACGGTACTCTCCACCCCAAATCAACAGAATACACATTCTTCTCAGCACCACATCGCACTTATTCTAAAGTTGACCACATAATTGGAAGTAAAACACTCCTCAGCAAATGCAAAAGAACGGAAATCATAACAAGCAGTCTTTCAGACCACAGTGCAATCAAATTAGAACTCAAGATTAAGAAACTCATTCAAAATCACATAACTACATGGAAACTGAACAACCTGCTCCTGATTGACTAGTGATAACGAAATTAAGCCAGAAATAAATAAGTTACTTGAAACCAATGAGAACAAAGACACAATGTGCCAGAAGCTCTGGGACACAGCTACAGCAGTGTTTAGAGGGAAATTTACAGCACCAGATGCCCACAGGAGAAAGTGGGAAAGATCTAAAATCGACAACGTAACATCACAATTAAAAGAACTAGAGAAGCAAGAGCAAACACATTCAAAAGCTAACAGAAGACAAGAAACAACTAAGATCAGAGCAGAACTGAAGGAGATAAAGACACGAAAAACCCTTCAAAATATAAAAATTAGCTGGGCGTGGTGGCATGTGCCTGTCGTCCCAGCTACTCAGGATGCTGAGGCAGGAGAATGGTTTGAACCAGGGAGGCGGAGGTTGCAGTGAACTGAGATCATACCACTGCACTCCAGACTTGCGACAAAGCAAGACTCCATGGCAAAAAAAAAGAAAAAAAGAAAAAAAAGAAAAAAAAATTAATGAATCCAGGAGCCGGTTTTTTGAAAAGGTTAACAAAATAGACTGCTAGCCAGACTAATAAAAAAGAAAAGAGAGAAGAATCAAATAGACACAATAAAAAACGATAAAGCGGATATCACCTCTGATCCCACAGAAATACAAACTACCATCAGAAAACGCTATAAACACCTCTGTGCAAATAGACTAGAAAATCTAGAAGAAATGGATAAATTCCTGGACACATACACTCTCCCAAGACTAACCCAGGAAGAAGTTGAATCCCCGAATAGGGATTTAAAGATAAATATGTAACTTTAAATTCATGTATTAAAAGAGAAAGGCTGAAAAATCTTAAGCTGTTACCTTAAGGATTGTGAACTTCGAAAATTTCAGGCAGGTCTCAGTGAATTTAGAAAGTTCATTTCGAGGGCGGAGTTCAAAAGTCTCGGACCCGAGGCCGCCACTGCGCGCAGCCTCCTGCCCGCCATGGCCGCGCCTCGAACCCCACGCGCTCTGGCGGCCGCCGCGCCCGTGTCTGGCAAGGTCAAGCTGACGCTCCTGGGGAAGACGATCCTGGCAGGCGGCCTGGCGGGCGGCATCGAGATCTACATCACCTTCCCCACCCAGTATGTGAAGACGCAGGGCAGCTGGACTAGCGCTCGCACCCGCTGCGGTACCAGAGCATCCGGGACCGGTGTGGCCAAGTGTCTGCAACCATGGCGTCCTGGGCCTGTACGCGGCCTCAGCTCCCTGCTCTACGGCTCCATCCCCAAGGCGGCCGCCAGGTTCGGAATGTTCTGGTTCCTCAGCAACCACATGCGGGTTTCCCAGGGACGCTGGACAGCACGCGCGGGCTGCTGTGCTGCCTGGGCGCTGGAGTGGCTGAGGCCGTGGTGATCATGTGCCCCATGAAGACCATCAAGGTGAAGTTCAGCCGCCACACCTACCTAAACCCCCAGTACAGAGGATTCTTCCGCGGGTTAGGAAGATTGTGCGGTAACAAGGACTGAAGGGGCTGTATCAGGGCCTCACAGTCACGGTGCTGAAGCAGGGCTGGAATCAGGCCATCTGCTTCTTCGTCATGACATTCCCTGCACAGCTGGTACGGAGGGGACAACCCCAACAAGCCTATGAACGTGCTGATCACTGGGGTCTTCGGAGCCATGGTGTGCACAGCCAGCGTCTTTGGAAACACTCCTCTGGACGTGATTAAGACCCGCAGGTAGGGCCTGGAGGCGCACAAATACCGGAACTCGATGGACTGCCTCTGGCAGATCCTGAGAAAGGAGGAGCTCAAGGATTCTACAAGGGCATTGTCCCGCTCCGGGCCAGGTCAGCCTGGTTGTGGCCATAGTGTTTATCATCTATGATGAGGTGGTGAAGCTGCTCAACGAAGTGTGGAAGACGGACTAAGCCCAGTGGGGCCACAGGGGACCGCCCCAGGCACCTCCAGAGGCCCCACCACCCTTGTCTCACATGATTCCAGTGCAGTAGTGCCAAAAGGCTCCTTCCTACATCCCTCGAGCTCTGTGACCTGGTCTGTGCATTGTGGCCATCAAGTCCATGTGTCCCATAGTGCCGTATCTCCCCTGTGGTCTGTGTGTAACACCACCACGGTATCCCAGTGTCTGGCCCAGCCATGCTTGGTATGCATCTGGCCTGTGAACCTGTGCCTACTTGTCCATGTGCTTACTGTGAGCCTGTGCCTGTGTTTCAGGTTCTGTGTCATGTGACCCGGTGCCCCGCCTCCTGGGGTGCCCTGTGGCCTGGGTCCCAGTCCGGTGCTTTTCACCCTCCACGGGCCTATCACTGCTGCCTCTGGGCCTGCCCCTGGCTTCTCCGCATTCCAGGGTCTGCTACACCCCCCCGGCTCCCGCCTTTGGCCTTAACTGGCCCTTAGGCCCTCCCTCCACCCAGGACAGGGTGGCACCCACCACTCTCAGGACCACCGTGCCAAGGCAGAATTTTTTAAAAAAGATATTTTGCCAAGGTTGAGTACGCACACCCATGACACAGCCTCAGGAAGTCCTGACCACATGTGCCCAAGGTGGTCAGGGCAGTTTGGTTTCATATATTTTAGGGAGGCATGAGACATCAATCAACATATGTAAGATGAACAATGGTTCCGTCTGGAAAGGTGGGACAACTGGAAGCAGGGAGGGGGCTTCCAGGTCATAGGTAGATAAGAGACAAAAGGTTGCATTCTTTTGAGTTTCTGATTAGCCTCTCCAAAGGAGGCAATCAGATACCCATTTATCTCAGTGAGTAGAGGGATGACTGAATAGAATGGGAGGCAGGTTTGCCCTAAGCAGTTCACAGCTTGACTTTTCCCTTTAGGTTTGTGATTTTGGGGGCCCAAGATATTTTCCTTTCGCAGGATCAAGGGAAAAAAATAAATTCAAAGTAAAGGTAAGAAAATACAGATGAGAACACTGTTTCAGGAAAAACTGTCTCAAACTGTGTTTTTCCTTTACTTTCCCACCACAACAATCAACACAGAGGACCTTGTTTTAAAAATTTTATATTTTTTTACCCAAAACAAAAATAGTCAATAATACAGAAGACTTCTGTGCTCAAATGTGGGTTTTTCTGCCACATGCCAAGCAGTAGACACCAGCTGGGTGTTCTCCAATTCAGTTCCAACACGATCAACCTGGAGATGGTGTCAGAACCCACAGGGTGAGGGGGCTCAGTCCCCAAGACTGCCCCCCTTAAACCCCAAAATCAGAGTGGCGGGGAAACATTAGAGTCCTGCCTTGGGGCAAGTGAAAGGAAGACAGGAGAGAGATTCTGTTTACTGAGGCCTGCTGGTTGGGTCTAACACATCCAACATTATAACAACAAAAGATTGTAACAAGGTGTTCCTAGAACAGGTAATTTTAAAAAAAAGAAAAAAAAACGCAACAATGGATATGGGAATGATGAACCAGGAATTACAGATGGAAACTATATATCATAACACCACAAGCAGAAACCAATTAAAGAGAAAGCTGACGTACACAGGAGAAAATCAACAAACCCAAAAGTTGGTTCTGATAAACCCTAGTGTAGTGCCTGATGGGTTCATCTTACCTGCTGCCCAGAAAGCCCAACACACTGAGAACAGCAGGTTTTTTGCAGCAAAGAAAGAGTTTAATTAGGCCGGACATGATGGCTCACGCCTGTAATCCCAGCACTTTGGGAGGCCAAGGTGGGCGGATCACCTGAGGTCAGGAGTTTGAGACCAGCCGGGCCAACATGGTAAAACCCTGTCTTTACTAAAAATACAAAAACTAGCCAGGCATGGTGGCACATGCCTGTAGTCCCAGCTACATGGGAGGCTGAGGCAGGAGAATCTCTTGAATCCGGGAGGCAGAGGTTGTGGTGAGCTGAGATCACACCATTACACTCCAACCTGGGCAACAGAGCAAGACTCTGTCTTAAAAAAAAAAAAAAAAAAAAAAAAAGAAAGAAAGAAAGAAAAGAGTTTAATTAATGCAGGGCTAGCCAAGCAGAAGATGGACTTTATTACTCAAAACAGCTTTCCAGATAACTCAGAGGCTAGGGTTTTTTTAGATAATTTGGTGGGCAGGGGGCTAGGGTATGAGTGCTGCTGATTGGTTAGAGATTACATTGTAGAAATGTAGAAACCAGTCCTTGTGTGCTGTGTCAGCCTCTGCGTGGGGGCCACAAGAGTCATGAGCCACAGGTCCATGTGGAGTCAGTCAGTAGCCAGAGTGCAAAAGTCTGAAAACATCTCAAAAGACCCATCTTAGGTTCTACAATAGTGATGTTTTCTATAGGAGCGATTGGAGAAGTCACAAATCTTGTGACCTCTGGCCACATGACTCCTGAGCAGTAAGGGATTATAGAAAAGCAATCTAGGGAACAATGGTTAGTTATCTTTACACCTACATTTTAGTAGAATTCAGTCTCCTCTCATAACCCTAATCTTGTGACTTTTCATTGGTCTTACAAAGCTGGTTTCAGTCCCAGAACAAAGAGGGGATGAGTTTTACGGAGGACTGTTATTATTTTTGCTTCAATGCTAAACTATAAACTAAATTTCTCCCATTGTTAGCTTGGCCTATGCTGAGGAATAAGCAAGGCCAGCCTGCCTGTGAGTCTAGAAGCAGGATGAAGTCAACCATGATAGACTTCTCTCACTGTCATAATCTTTGCAAAGGCAGTTTCAGTTCAAAACCAGCCTGGGCAACGTAGTGAAACCCCATCTCTACAAAAATGTAAACATTAGCTGGGTGTGGTGGTGCATACCTGTCGTTTGTTTTAGCTACTTAGGAGGCTGAGGCAGAAGGTAGCTTGAGCCCAGGAGTTTGAGGTTACAGTAACTTATGATCATGCAACTATACCCCAGCCTGGGTGATAGAAGGAGACCCTGTCTCTAAAAAAGTAAAAATAGACCAGGAGCAGTGGCTCACACCTGTAATCCCAACACTTTGGGGGGCTGAGGTGGGACGATTGCTTGAGCCTAGGAGTTTGAGACCATCCTGGGAAAAACAGTGAGACCCCATCTCTACAAAAATAAAAATTAAAACCTTAGCCAGGCCTTGATGGCATGTGCCTGTGGTTCCAGCCACTTGGGAGGCTGAGGTGAGAGGACTGCTTGAGTCCTGGAGGTTGAGGCTGCAGTGAGCTGTGATCATGACATTGCACTCCAGCCTGGGTGACAGAGCAAGACTTTGTCCCCCCAAAAAAGTAAAAATTAAAAAAGAAAGGAAAATGTTGAAGAAACTAAACATCAACAAGAATACAGAGCACCCCAAACTTTCATATAATTGGTGGCGAGAATGTAACTGGGAATGAACACTGAAATATGTTTTGCCAGTATGTTTTAAACCTGAACATGTATATACACATATATATATACTACATGACACAGCAATTCCACTTTGGGCTTTATATCCAACTGAAATGAATGCTTGTGTTCACCAGAAGACATGTATAAGACTGTTCCCAGCAGCTGTAATGATAATAGCTAAAAACTGGAAACAACCCCAATGACTATCAGTAATAAAACCTGTAAGTCAATTGTGCTATTCCCACTACTAAGCACTCAACAACAAAAAAAGTAAATTGTGCTTAATCACACTATGGAATATAACACCACATAAAGAAGAATAAACTACTGACACGTGTAGCTATAATATATAAGTGAATCTTACAGATGTAATATTGAAAGAAGGCAGACATACAGTATGATTCAATTTAATAAAGCTCAAAAAGAAGACAAGCAACAAATCTATGATGACAGAAGTCAAAACAGTGAGTGGCTATCTTTGTGGCGGGTAATGACTAGGATGAGACATGAAGGGCTTTTCTGGTTATCTTGATCTCAGTGGTAATTAACCTGGGTGTGCTCACTTTGTAAACATTCATCAAGCAGGACTCTTAAGGTTTGTGTATTTGACGGGTGTATCTTACACTTCAAAACGGAGTGAAGTTGCCATTTTTAAAAGAATGGTAAACTTGTTATAGATAAAATTTATCTCTATTTTTCTCAGAAAAAAAAAAAAAATTACTTTCCACTGGGACAAATCAAACTGGGGCAAATCAAACAGCTTCTAGTAACCAACAAAAACAGCCTATGTGGCAACTCTGATTTCAGCAGGTCAACAGAAGTTGATTTTTTCTCTCACACTTGGAGAGTTTGGATCATGAGATTAAAGCAAGTCAGTCATAACATGGTAAGAATCTCACCTAATTTGTTAGTTGTGGCTGTTTTTCAGTCCACAATCTGAGTCAGAAGAAAATATCAAGTGACTATATAAGGAAAACGCCTGTGCTTCCAAGACAAGGATACCCTCTCTCACCACTCCTATTCAACATAGTATTGAAGTTCTGCAAGGGCAATTAGGCAAGAGAAAGAAATAAAGTGTATTCAAATAGGAAGAGAGGAAGTCAAATTGTCTCTGTTTGCAGATGACATGATTGTACATTTAGAAACTCCATTGTCTCAGCCCAAAATCTCCTTAAGCTGATAAGCAACTTCAGCAAAGTCTCAGGATACAAAATCAATGTGCAAAAATCACAAGCATTCTTGTACACCAATAATAGACAGAGAGCCAAATCATGAGTGAATTCTCATTCACAATTGCTACAAAGAGAATAAAATACCTAGGAATACAATTTACAAGGGATGTGAAGGATTTTTCAAGGGAAACTACAAACCACTGCTCAAGGAATTAAGAGAGGACACAAAAAAATGGAAAAACATTCCATTTTCATGGATAGGAAGAACCAATATCATGAAAATGGTCATACTGCCCAAAGTAATTCATAGATTCAGTGTTATCCCCATCAAGCTACCATTGACTTTCTTCACAGAATTAGAAAAAACTACTTTAAATTTCATATGGAACTAAAAAAGAGCCCATATAGCCATGACAATCCTAAGCAAAAAGAACAAAGCTGGAGGCATCACGCTACCTGATTTCTAACTATACTGCAAGGCTATACTAACCAAAACAACATGGTACTGGTACCAAAACAGATATATAGAC